TTTCAAAAAAAGTTATAGAAATTGTATACAAAATAATAAGAAACATTATACCAGTAATATTTTCGTCGCAACTAACTTCCGATGAATTATAATCTTGAAAACTAAAAGTAAAGACTATAAAGTAATTAAATAAAATATTTAACTTTTTTATAGAAAATTATATTTTTATTACACTTTATTCATTAATCATCTGCACGTCTGGGGCTTTAGTGATCACTTTATAATGCACTTCATAGTGAATGTAATTTGAAAATGTAATAAAATGAGTAATGGAATATTTGTTTTTGTGAAAATCTGCAAAAGTGTCGGGTATGGTATTCATTTCGCGATTTTATTCACAAATAGGTCAGTGTAAAAAATGCGATGGTGGCAATATTATCACAATGTTTTCAGTCTCTTTCTTTAGCAGGTGGTTGGTTTAGTTGTCCCGGTTATTGTTATATTTTTTCTTAATGAATCTTCAATAAATAAGAATTTTTTGTTTCTATTGCAAATGTAAGGAGTTGTCAAAAATTGATTATCTTATCTTATATTACTGTCAATGGTGATTAGACTACCGAATGTTTTGCATTGACTCTCCTTTGGGTGTGGTATTTTTTTATCTTATAATGAAGAAAATTCTAAGGTACAATAGCTTTATTTTGTTTATGAGACCAGGACTTTACTTTCTCCTATAGGTACTATTGAGAAAGTTACGTAATGCTACTAAAATTGATGTCCCTAATACTGATTGTCCCTGACACTGAAAAAGTGTTGTTTTTTTAAATGTTCGTCCGTCGGTCGGTTTATTCGTGTGTTCGTCCGTCTGCCCATCCGTCAGTCTGCCCGTTCGGTGGATCGTGCAACCGACCGTCCGTTCGTCCGTCCGTTCATCTGCCCGTTCATCTGCCCGTTCATCTGCTCGTACTTCCGACTGTCCATCCATCTATGAACAGTACTAATGCCTAAACCGCAATCGGATTTTCAGAAAAAATTATACTCGCTGCTTAACATCGGGGCCCATCAAATTTGAAATGGAACTTTTTGGAAGGTACTTTAGATAAAGCCCCAGTACATTTTCCAAATTTTCTGAAATATAGCCAAATTTTCCTTTTTATTCGGAAGTTGCCCCAAATTGCTATTGATCTCTCTAATGCAGTATTTTTGAATTCCTAAGGTCATTATAAATAAAAAGCGATTAAATATTATTTTTTATGCTTACTGAGGTTAAAATCGCGTTTGAAAGTTCTGGTAAGAGTGATAGTATGCCTACACATTCCTGCAACAAACACGATATGTACAATTCAATAGAACAAAATGAAGTGAAAGAAATTTCATTTCATCGATTGTGGTCAACACTAGCGACTAAACAGTTAAGTTGATTTTCTCTATTGATATTCCCGGATCGGTCTGAACGAGCTCATTGTTTTGCAAGTTTGAAGCAAATATTTTGGTTTTTTGAGAATTCTTTACATCAAGTCTCTAAACAATTTTCAATTTGTTTTTCAAAAATGGCACCAAATTGTTTGATTAAACTGTCCTCGGAAAGCGTAAAGGAGAGAGTCAGCAGGTGCAGGTCTAATTTTCGTTGAAATCCCTGATTTTTCAAAAATTGCAAAAGTGCAATTTTTTCAGTGTCTTCCTACAACTACAATATTGAAGATAAGAATTTTCTCCTAAATGAAATCTGTTGCATAAATACGGATCTCGAAATAAGGTCATGCACATTTTTTTCAAAATATGAGTAGCTTTTGCATAATTTTGTCTCAAATATAGGCAGATTTCATTGTTTTAAACGGATTTTTCTCTGAAACAGCTTCATTTTTTTTCTTTCTCGTATGTATCAATATACGGTAAAAATTGGTTCTAATCCCATTTTCATTGAACTCTCCATATTTTCGAACATTGCAAAAAGTTAACATTTCAAAACCACAAAATAGAAGTTTTGTGATAAATAAAAACTGTTCCAAAAACTTAGCTCTTTAATGAAGATCATTTACAATTTTTTGAGAAAATGAGTAGTAATGCGAAATTTGTGCTTGAAATTTATGCCATTTGTAAAAAAAAAAAGTTCTCAAAAACTGGATAAATTTTCTCCTGGACGGTAAAAAACATGGTGTTCGTCCCATTGTCAGCGAACTCCCTATATTTTCGAAATTGCAAAAATGTAGCATTTCAAAACTTTAAAATTGAAGATGGAGATTTTTGCCTTAAAAAATCTGTTGTAAAAAATCGACTCTTATTGAAAAAGATCACGTTCATTTTTTTGAAAGAATGAGTGGTTTTCACGTAATTTCTGGTTGAAATTAATGCAAATTATAAAATTAACTTTTTCTCAAAATCTGCACTACCCCCCTCTCTTTCCCCTCCCCCATGTATCAGACAAGGGACGATTAAAATAATTGAATGGTTTTCATTTTCTTTGAAGTCTGGTAATTTTATAAAATTCCATGTAGAAAATATTGGGTTGAGGCAATTAGATTTTTAAGCGTCCGGAATTCTTAAGCTATACCGTTTCCGTGGCTTGGAGGTAATGTGCCCGCAAGTTAAGGAAGAGTACGTGAGTTTGAGTCTCGGTATGGAACATTTTTTTGTTGGTTGAAAACACTTTTGCAGGTTCATGTACTAATATAATATTGTGGCGTCGTTAACACGAGGGCCAGAACCGTTAGGTTGGTGAAAGTACGCTGCGGGGGAGGAAGGAGGGGTTAAGCCTGAACATCCGGAGTTTGCGCTCTGGCGGTTGACTCATGTAGAGCCGCAGAGCCACAAAAATACCGTTGGCTGTAAACTCCGAGGAGGCTAGCTAGCGTGCCTCAACCGGAAGCAGGCAGCCAACCTGAGAATTCTCTGTGTGTGGGCGTAAACCAAAGGCTGGCCTGCGAGCCTCGCGCCAGTGCGAGTCTATCTATGGAACAGTGGTGGGGGTGTCAGCCTCAACTATTTAACGCGGCGCCATCTGCGCCCGCGTTCTCATTCAGTTTGCATCGGGAAGCTTGTACGTGTATGTACAAGGAGGGTGTAGGAGTGAGGGCGAGATGTCCGGAGAGTAAGGGCCAGACAATCTCACGTGCTGTAGGCACACGGTCGCCACGACCGGGTTAACTTTTGGCGTCAGGCCATGTGACGGTAATTGTCACGGGACAGAGGTCCGACGGCGCGCATCACGCGTGGCTTGTATTTTCTGCGGTAAAGCAGTGTTCCGAAAGGAAAAGGTTGCCGGAGTGTTTTAATATTAGCAATTCATTGTAACTTGTACATAATCTTTGAATATATTATTTTTATTTTGTTATTGAAATTTATTTCTTATTTCACTACGTCACAATATACATGACCAGTTACGGTGCCGGGAGGGGTGTGTTTGCAAGGGGTGCAGTATACACCTCTGGCTTTTGTAAACAAAAATAAACGAAATAATAACCTGTAATTATAACTCTTAAAACTGTAACTCGTTTGATCATGATGTAATCACTTTACCATAATGATATTACAATTTGAAATTTAGAAATTAACAGAGATGTAATGATTCTTTTATAACATAATAATAATAATAATAATAATAATAATAATAATAATAATAATAATAATAATTAATGTTTGAATAAAATCTGCTGTCATCTTGGTTTGCTGTCCAAATTTGTTTATCATTTTGTCAATAAGTTGTGGATACGTTTTGCCGTCAATCGATTTTCGGTATCAAGGAGCCACAAAACATGGATTCTGGCTACACCACGTGTTAAAGGTTTTTTTTAATTTAACAATTGGATTTATTCACTTCGTTTCCAGGGCCCTGTAGTAAGAGTTTTTCTGGCGAAAATTCGCCGTTTTTTCACGCAACATTACATAACTTCCTCTTTACTGCGGATGCTGAAGCGAGAAAGTAAAAATGTTGTATTATATAATTTCGTAAAAACATTTGAAAATCTTTGTTACTAATTTGTTGAAATATTATATATAGTATATGAAAGTTTATGAATAAATAAAAAAAAAAAAACATGATAGTCAAATGGCTATCATGTTATGGTCTCAATTACCTTGAAAATTTGGTTTCTCTTTTACATTGTAATGTTACGTTTTATATAAGTATATATTGTTAACGTTGTTTTATTTATTTCAGTTATCAGAATTTTAATTGCAAATCTAACAATAAAATAAAAAGAGTTATTTGATTAATTATGCTCTAATAGAATGATAAAATATAGCCAATTGAGCAGTTTTAAACATTCACATTTTAAACAACACAATATTATTATGAGAGATTTAAACAATCTTTTTTATTATTTGTACTTGCCTTACAGTTATTAAAAAATAAAAGTTGAAAAATAGTAACAAATACCTATGACAAATATGTAGAAAGGAACTGTACTTAACTCACCTCCAACAAAATAAAATGATAAACAAAAAGTGGTTTTTGCAAAGTCAATCCATTTGAGAAGTCATGCAATTTCAGGAAAAACTTAATTGACAAATGATAATTTGTTTTTAATTATTTTCTATTTAATAATACTATATTAAATATTACCAAAGAAATTAAATTTAATGAAAAAGTCTCCTTGAAAGTAGTGTGGTACTAATAAGTGGAAGCAATGTCACATTATCATAGTAGTGACCCTCCTCCTTTATTCTGGCTTGGAACTGGCAGCGTTAAGGTTGAACAAACTCCATCAGCCACAGGCAGAGTTTTTGGAAATATATTTCCAAAATTTGTGAATGTTGTTGCGTCATCAATCCTGCGCCCTCTGGAAAAACAATTTCAGGTGGCCTTGGTCAATTTTTCCATTCTCATCTGCTAAAGCCTACTAATCTAAGGTGACAAAACAAAATATCATCAAAACAAAACAAATGACAGTTATCCTTGTTGAAAGTTTTGTCTTGCTAAAGAAACATTCTCCACATGTGATAGTGATGGAAATGGATTCAGAGTTGAAATTATGGTGTATAATTTATTACTATTTATTTTTCTATTTAATCATTAAATGTTTACCCAGAAGACAAATTAATATATTCTATTTTATTTCCAGGCTGGCAAAATGGTTGTTAAAAATGCCAATATTCACAATATTATGGGGGGGATGGAGAGTACTGGAGGAGTACGTCTCCATAACCATCGACGAAAACTGAAACAAAGGTAAGTAATGCATTTTTCAGAACACTACACATGCAATCTCTTTTAAAACAAATTTTGAAGTGCTTACTACCCAACGGTAGTATTATTGATTGTTAAATATATTCCTTCTTGGAAGGTCAATTATTAGAGATCAGGGTCATATACCTGTATTTTGTGTTGTCATAGGAACGACATAGAAAGATGAATAACACTAATATAAAACAATATTTTTCCTATTTCAAATATTCACTTAGGTATAATATGATTGAAGTTCATAAAGGTAATATAAAGGCTAAAGAGTGTGAAGAGTGTGCTGCGATTAATACATCTCAAAATATCATGTTCATTATCTTACTATGATTTCTCAATACTAAACTACAAAATTTCCTATGCATGTTCCTATTCAATTTTAGTGTATTACTGTTGGTTGAAACAAATATTAATTAGTATATAGGTAGCTGATATAATTTTGAAGATTAAAGTGTTTTGTACAGTATCATTAAGCAATGCTTCAAATTATTGTTCTGTAACAAATTTTCTAAACATATTTTGCAAAGTATGGGTAGGAGAGAAATGTTAAATATGTAAAATTGAAATTATCAATCATGCTTAAGGATATCCCTGAATAAAATGGTAAAAAGTTCCCTATACTCGCATGACATATGAGTAATTAAACTATGACTCTAACATAAAAATAAGATATTTGAAAGGTTTATTGAGCCCCTCTAACACTCTCACTCTGCTCTTCAGCCAAAGAATTGTGTGATTTAAATTTAAATTTTTTTCGTCAACGTAACATTAAATCTTTTCATTGAAAAATATATGAAAAATAAGAAAATAATTTATACTCTCAATAAAGCATTTTTTAAATATTTTGTGATTGTATTGAAGAAATCATAGACACAAAATCTTGTAAGTGTGCTACTAGTGGGTAGAGAATTATGTCCGGGTCCTACATTCAACAGATTTCAGACAAAAAAATAGGACTTCGCAGATTTTTACCTACAACACAAATTATTGTAACACACATTATAATCATACATAACTCGGAAACAATGTGACCTAGATCTTTTAAACTAGCTTTGGATGTCTCATTGGGACACAACGTTTTTGCGAACAGGTCGGTACTGACAGATCACATGTTTCGGGGGATGGGTAGGGGATTATGGGGACAGATGGGGAAATTATAAGAGACAGTTCAGAGATATGTGAAGAATATGTGGAGGACGTGGGGAAATGAAGGATGACATGTTGGACCCAAATTACATTTTTAGGCAGGCTTAAATACAAAATAAGACCTTTTGTATATTTATTTCACAATTTTGCAGATTTAGTTCTTTTGCTAGTCCCCACTCTATTGTATGTGCACTGCACTCTGTCAGCAAAGTGCAGAAGCAAAAATCAATGTAAAATTAAAATTAAGGAAAAATGTTGAAATAAACTTTCACTATAAAATTGAAGGGACTATTTGTTTTTTTGTGCATTATAATCTCAATGCTCAGCAATATTGAATTGTTTGTTTTTTTTTGCACAGTACCAGGCTTATAATGCTGTAAACAGTTTGGAGGATAGCCAGTTGAAGTTGGGTTCTACTTTAAATCAATTTTTAGTTTTCCAACAAATATTATTTACAAAGTGCAGAGTTTTGCATAGGCCCAGAATGTATATACATATTTATATGTATACAAGAATAAATACTCTGCTAAGGAAAGAACAACTTTTTTTGCTAATCTGAAACAACTACAGATATCTTAGTTTTACTTTTTTGAACTATGGTCCAGCAATTGACCAAATCTTTTCTCTCATGTCCCTTATCATTTCCTCATCTGTTCCAACGTGTACCCATCCCCCGTCCGTACCCATCCCCCAAAACTCATGAACTGTCAGATCACACCTGTTCTCAAAAAATTGTGTCCCAACAGGACATGCACATGGTTTAAAAATTCTAGGATGCATCATTTCTGAATTATGTGCAATTATACTGTGTGTTACAATAATCTGTATTGTGTATCATAACCTGCAGTCTTCTCCTTTTTCATTTGAAATATCTTGGATGTTGGACTGGGTGTAATACTCTACTCAACAGTAGCACACTTACAGGACTTTTTATTGATGGTTTCTTATAAACTGCAAAAAATTATCATCTTTCGTTAGTGTGTGATTTATTATTCAAAGGATTGTGAATATTGAAAAATGTGATAATTTGCAACTACATTGTAACGTCAAAAAATTACTGGGTGCGACACAATGTATTTAAATGAATAATAAATACTAAAATAAATTTTCAGAAATGTTGGAGTCATTTTCATAGTATGATTATAGTCATAAGTGGTTTTAAAGACATAATAGGTTAAAACTAGGTTTATTTTTTTTTTTTAACTACAGCCCAGCAATTGAAAACAATCTGAAAAAGTTTCACAACAAAGGGTGTTATGAAAGGAAGTTTTAAGACTTTTTCATGTATGTTCGTGTATTCTAAGACACTGTAAAAACTATTTTTTGTTAATTTCTTTCAAAATGTTTTCTAATTTGAATTTAGGTGCTGAGAAAATATGAAAAAATGTTTTCTTTTTATACTATTAATTTCTTTCTAATTTTTCCAGTTAAAAAAGTTAATGATAAGACAGGGGTTTACCCAGAGACAAAATTTGGAAGGGAAAGTTAAAAATGTTATGATCGAAGGTGTTATATTACAGATTTTGTAAAATGTAGTAGGCTACACCAGCTCGTCATGCAGTTCAATGGTACTTGTTTCAATGATTATAATAAAATATTTTTGTGTGAAAGTTATGTGACAAGTTAAAATTAATAGTTACTGAAAAATTTTAGGGGGAGAAATTTCCCTCGTTTCCCTTCTCGTGAATCTGCCCCTGGTTAAGGTGACAAAAAAACAAAAAAAAAACAACAACATGTTTTTGGCTGCAGAGGAGCGGGGGTTGTAGGAGGGGATAAGAAACCTTTCAATAAACTTATTTTTGCGTTAGCAACATAGTTTAACTACTCATTTATGTCATTTGATTTCAGAAAAGTTTTTGCCATCTTATGCCAAGTTATCCTTTGTATTTTGTTCAGTGTTTATTTGATTTCATTTGATCTCTGTTGTTTTGTATATGGTTATATTAAATTTTAGTGTTTATGTTATATTATTTTCTATTTGTGATAAACAGATTTGACATTATTCGAAAATTGGGGCAAGGCACTTATGGCAAAGTTCAGCTTGGTATAAACAAGGAAACAGGTCAAGAGGTGAGCTCAGTTTTAAAATTATATACTTCAATTACATCTACTTGAATTTTGAAATATTTGTGAAAAATGTATTTTGTTGTGCTTTCTAGCTGATGAGTATTTTATGCATCATTGTTTGTTGTATTTTACATCTTATTTTTTGTATTGTATAAGTTGTATTTTACAACTTATAAAGCAAAATGTACCTGTACATTTCCACAATGCAATCAAGTTCCTGCATTCCATAGTCTTGCTTTTGTGTTTGGTAAATTGCTAATATAATATTGCTTAATAATATCATGCTAATTAAATGCAAAAGTGATGAAGTACAGGTTTAACAGTCCTCTTTATTATTTATAATTATCTATTTATCATTTTTAAATAAGAAAATAAAAATTTTATTGTGTAATTTTATTGTGTAAACTTTTAAGATGTAATATGAAAATAATACTCCAGTCTGAACAGAAAGTTGTGTTTTACAATGAATCTACAAGTTAATTTAAAAACACTCTTCGGTATCATGTGTTTGAAGCTGAAAAATTATTGAAGCCTTGGAATTATTATTTAAAAATTTTACTTTATGACTTCTCATTATGGGAATGAATTATATCTTGGCCTTTATTAACTTTGTATGAAGATTTAAAATTTGAGATTAAATTGACATAATCTTATGCACAGAGGGAGCTTGACAGTCAAATACTTATTTTTTCTATTGTTCGTATTTTCTTCATATAAACAATCAAACAGGAATTGCTCTTTCAAAAATTCAAACTCATATTAAATGCAAAATATTATGCTATGGTTTATAGTGTGCAATATACTAGTACAAACATGACTGAGAAAACACTGTACTCATTCAGTTGCTAATGTAATACTTTTTTGATTGAAATGTAAATAGCAAATATTTTATGCCATTCATGTTGTATGCTCTACAGGTGGCCATAAAAACCATCAAAAAGGCAAAAATTGAAACTGAAGCAGATTTAATAAGAATTCGCCGTGAAATTCAAATTATGTCATCTGTTCAACATCCAAACATTATTCATATATATGAAGGTAAAATTATTTGAATGATATCTTTTTGAATCAAAATTTTCTTTTCTTTCTTTCTTCTTTTGTGTGTGTATGTGTAGTGAATTATTTTGATCAATTTCATATTGGTTATTTGTCTTTACAGTATTTGAAAATAGGGAGAAAATGGTTTTAGTGATGGAATATGCTGCTGGTGGAGAATTATATGACTATCTCAGTGAAAGGAAAGTTCTCCCTCAGGATGAGGCTCGTCGAATATTTCGTCAAATTGCTACTGCTGTATTTTACTGCCACAAGGTAAATAATATGAAGACTAAATGCTTAGAGATGTTAAATTTTAAAAGTTTTAATTAGTTTTTACTAAAATTAAAATCTGTTTTTAGCACAAAATATGTCACCGGGACTTGAAACTGGAAAATATTTTACTTGATGAACATGGAAGTGCAAAGGTAATGAAACACAGTATGCCCCACTTTTGTGTAACTGACATTCACTTTGTATTTTACATCAAAAATGATTATTTATTTTATAGATTGCTGATTTTGGACTTTCTAATGTCTTTGATGAGCAACGACTGTTAAATACATTTTGCGGAAGTCCTTTGTATGCATCTCCTGAAATAGTAAAAGGAACTCCATATCATGGACCAGAAGTTGATTGTTGGTAATTATTTTATAACAATAATTTCTTACAAAATCTGTTTCACATTCACAAGGTCAACAGATAGTATGTTTGTCCAATTAATTGTTTACTTTTTCAAATATGAATGCAATAAGACACATTCATTTTCTATGTTTAATATCCACTGCTGTTTGTGAAAATTACACCTGGAAAGTAATTTCATAGCAGTAATATCAGCTCAGTAGTAAGTTGACATCTCAAAATTACTAACCTGATAAGCTTTTGGATGGTTGTGCAATATTGGTCTCTGAACTATCAGAGTTTGGGTTCATCGTTGCTGCATGAATTGCTAACTCTTATCTTGCATAAGCGCTTCTAGCATTACACCATGCCATGGTGCAATCAGTGATTAAAAGTAAATACATGATGGATGGCAAAGGCAGCATGATTGTTGGAAAGTGTCGAGGTGGTTTATTGCTCAGCTAAGTATCACATGAATGAGATGAACCATCACTACTGCCTTGTGGTACTGATGTCTCTGATGTTTCGAAAATTGAAAAAGTGCAATTTCGTTTGGTGTCTTTCTACAGCTACAGTATTGAAGAGAAAGCTTTTTTCCTAAATGAAGTATGTTCTATAAAGACAGATTTTCATATAAGTTGAGGTACAATTTTTAGAAAAAATGAGTAGTTTTCGCGAATTTTTGCGTTAAATTAGGCAATTTTTTTAAAACATTTTTTTCTCTCCAAAGCGCTTCTTTTTTTTTTTATTTTCTACTTATAGACCTTGAGACAATTACAATTTTAAGCATCGACTCGAGACAATTACATTTTTAAGCATAGTGTATTAGAGCGTCTGGCTTGAAGTAAAGGTATGGCACATGGCGAGTTAACACGGAGGACCTGTGTTCTAGTTCGGTGCGGAAAAAAATGTTTGCTCGTTGAAAACACTTTTACTGGTTCATGTAGTAATATAATATGGTGTATGGCTTCTTGAAATAGGGACAAGCGTTTGATTGATTGTTGGTAATTCCTGGCGCGTCTACTGATAAGTTAATTAGTCCCGTAAGTGTATCGGAGAAACTATGAAAACTACCGATCAGAGCAGCCGGTCGCTGGAATTGTCCTCCACACAGCGGCTGAATCCGACCTAGCTGACAAGCTAGTGTCGAAAATGCTGCCACCGTTGGGACTCGAACCTAGGACCTCCTGGTCAGAAGCACTGCAGTGACATCTGTTGATGCCCTGAGCTGCCTGTTAGGTCGTGCGCATGGGCGTACACAAACGGCAGAGCCATCGGTTGCCGTTTAGGACCTCCTGAACGTGCAGCGTGTCTGTCATGCTACCTGCGAGGAACAATATTAGCGAACAGACACCATAGAATATTCCAAACCATAATACCACACTGGCGGGACGTAATAAACAATTTACATGCTTCTGGAGTGTTTCTATGCTTTTGCAATGCAAATTTTGCCTAGAAAGAATTTTTTAAACCGACTTTTGAGTTCTTATAGCAGCTTAGCCATTCGGAATATCCAAGTAGTTTATTAGGCAGAATATTCTTAAAATTGTCTTAAGAGCGTATATTCGAAGTGTCGACGTTTTCTCTCCGGACATATTCTGTATATATGTACAGTGGCGGAAAAAGTACTCCAACACAGAGAAGGCCACGAATAATCAAGGGGTGTTAGGGATGGGGGTCGTAGAAGCTGTGATTAACATTTCACGGATGACTGACACCCAGTGACGTAATGGCATCGTGACGAAATGGCCCGGACGCGCCATCTACTCCGCGGCTTTAAAAGGCGCTGTCCACTGCGATAAGGTCTAGTCGTGACTTATCCCGGCGTCGCACTCGTTCGTCCATTAAACAAGTGGACCAGTTTGAGCGGGGTCGGATTGGCGGCCTGCGCGAAGCCGGATGGTCCTTTCGGCGCATTGCTGACCACGTGGGCAGTGATGCGACGTTGGTGCTGCGGGGCTGGCGACAATGGGTACACGTGCATTCTCACAGCCGTAGATCCTCTTCGAGGCGACCGCGGAGCATTGACGAACGTCAAAATCGACGCATCGCGAGGACAGCGTTGGCAGACCGTACGGCCACCGGCGCCGAGATACAGGCACATGTGGCCCCCAGCGGGTCTCCACGCACCGTTGGGAAGCGGTTACTTGCTGCAGGATTACAATCACGCTTACCCCTAGCTCGCCTGCTACTCACGCCGAACCATCGTCAGGCGCGTCTGGCGTGGTGTGTTGTGCGGGTCAGCTGGGAGACGGAATGGCGGGCAGTGGTGCGAGCCTCTTTTGCCTGCACGCAAATGATGGGTCGTGTTCGTGTGTGGAGTCACACAAGCGAGCGTATGCGTCCTAAGTGTACTCTTCCACTTCACGTAAAGCCCACCCTTGAAGTGGAGGTGTGGGGTGCCATCAGCTACAACGCGCGTTCGTCTTTGGTGTTCGTGGAGGGATCATTGACCAGCGCTGGATACCCGGCACGTTGTGCTGCCTGTGCCGATACCTTTCTTGCAACGGGAGGGTGGTGCGCTGTGCCAGCAGGACTATGCCCGCGCTACGCAACACGCTCTCCGCGATGTTCGTCAACAGCCCTGGCCGGCACGCTCGCCGGTCTTGTCCCCGATCAAGCATGTGTTGGACATGATGGGCCAACGCCTGAACCGTTCTGCGGCTCACCCAAAATGCCTGCCTGCTCTGCGTGAGGCGGTGCAGGAGGCGTGGAACAGTGTACCGCTAGACATTACGATGAGAGGACAACCCGCATCAGCGCTTGCCGTACTGCCCGCGGCGCAGTTTTGATGTGGCGTTTCCGGTCCACGGTTCTCTCTGTTGCTCGACGTGCAAGTCTCACATGGCTTTCCCCATGTAATCATGTGCAATCATCTCCCCATGTAATAATTTATATCTGTATCTGTACGGAGGAGTAAATTGTACAATGCAATTGCTGCGTGCACTCACCTCTGTCTTCAAGATGGCGCGCACCCTCTGGATGTTATTATTACTCACCATTTGCTTGACGTGTTTGTCATCTGACCCTCTACGGTACCAACAGCGTATAAGCGACTCTGGCTGTTCAATGCGCTGATGCCACACATTAGTGCTAACATTCATGCACCACCTACATAACATAAATTAAATCTCAAAAAATATTTACACTTCCCAATAAGCTATGACACGTCTTGATATCATGCTCATAACTTTCGCCAAATCTTATCACCGCCGCGACGTCGTGTGAGTCAGATGAGCGGCAACGCTGAAATCTGGCTGGAAAAAAGTAAACAAGTCCTCGCAAGCTCATTGCGTGAGAGCAGATCACATGACGTACCACAGCACATGGCGAGAGAACTGTCAGAGTCGCTTACACGCTTCTGGTGCTGTAAACTGCTAGTATCCGAGATATTATATTTCACTTCCTCGGCCATACCTTTGATGTTGCCTGAATCTTGATTTACCTCTTATCCAGGGTGTTTAACCCACTCTACTCATACAGCGAATTCTGCACTTGTCGAAGCCAAATTCCGTGTTCACGTCATTGCTGGATTTTCCCACACAATCTAGGAGGTTGTGACTCTTGTTTTCAGTATAAAATTTCAAGTCATTCATGTAGAAAAGGTGACTTCTTTGTGCTTCTGATTCTTCCAGCTTAAATTCCCTCTCTTGCCGAATTAGCATCGATGTTAGTGATTTCACTGCAAGACAAAACCACGAATGACTGAGAGCATCACCTTGGAAGATATCTCCCTTGATTTTAATATTTCCAACTAGAACGTCCATTTTACCAGTGCTCAGCTACAAGTTATTACTCCTGTGATCAATCGCATATCTCCCTTCACATAATTCTCAACCCCATAGATTTCTAACACTTCGCTCAGCCAAGTGTGTGGGACACTGCCGAATGCTTTCTGATAATCCATATGCGGTATATAATGACCCCTTTCCCTGATTTACCGAGTTGGTAATGATGGAATATCTGTTGTTCCTTGCATCCTCGTTATCCCTTATGCCATCCCTTTTGTTCTTCGTCCAATATTTTGTTGTTACCTAGGTGCTCACATATTTTTCTGCTTATTTTGGTTGTAAGCGGCTTGTATAGTGTTGGGAAACATTTTATGGGGTGATACTTTGCAGGATCAGCTCTGTGTTCTCTTTGGGGAGTAGATAGGGTGTTCCCTTCTGTCAAGGACAGCGGCATCGTCTCCGGGGTTTCCAATATAAACATGTGCGACACTTGGCAAAATGTTTATGGATTTCGGTGAATTTCTTTAACCATAAATTTTGCAATCCACCAGGCCCTGATGCCTTCCAGTTCAATGATTTTGCCAAAGCTATTTTCACCTCTTCATTGATTTTTTAGTTTAATAGTGTTTTCAATCTGGTCGTACGCACGGGCGGATCGAGCTGATCATTTTCGTCGATTTTCTTAAATAATAATAAACAGATTTTTATTATATTGTATATTAGTTATGTACTGTACATATGATACGATACAATATTATAATTTAAATAATTACATAATTCGAACAAATAAATATTCCAATCAATTTTGCCAAATAATGGAAGTAAACGAAAACTCTAGCCCTTTTTGGGGGGGCATTACCTCCATGCCCCTCCCCTTTCCGCCAGTAAGCCCAGCACCAGGCGCGCCCTGCCACTCCCCAGGCAGCGGCTGGAGTGGTGCTCCGTACGACTTAACAAGACTCTCTACGTGAAGAGTGAGAGTGGAGTAGGATGTGGTTTGATTTCAGTACTTGCATTGTTGATTTCTATCCCCTCCCCTTGAGTCCTTTATGATGATGATGATGATGATGATGATTATTATTATTATTATTATTATTATTATTGTTGTTGTTAGTGAGTGTATATACATGACCTATCTGCAATTGAACCTAAGGCACTGATTTTGATAACCTTTTGCGGAAAAATCAATGGAAGTCAAGGACCGTAGAAGGCTTCGCCAATGTCTTTGGTCAGTGTCTCCTACATATGAATTTATCCAGGCAGAAATGAACGGAGTAATCTTTTGAATTTATGTCGCATTAAATACGGACAAGGCAATTTGACACCTAAGAATGAAAACAACCACTTACCAGAGATATGCTGGTTTTGCCCATTGCATGTATTAATCGTAAAAATACGAGGGTTGGGGCAGAAGTCATGGCAGCCTTTTTTCCTAAAAATGTTATCAGATTTTATTTGTTGCGTGAAAGAAATGCTGTACCATCGTGTGTTCACAAGAGATGGCTATGTGATGCGTGATGAATGTAATCCGTTTCAAGCCGCGCTCATACACAAAGATAGTTGTTCTCCTTGGGAGAAGTGACCGAGAATGTCACAGGGAATTGGTGGAAGCTGTTAGAATGCCATTTCCATATTGGAAAGTCGTGAGATGGGCAGAAGACTTTCTACGATGATGCGTAGCAACCAGTGATTAGCAACAAACGTGACGACCCGTGAGTGTGCGGCCTGATATGGCACGTGCAGTAATCAAGTATCTGCCTAGTCAGGTCTTAAAAGCGAGTATGTAATACTTCTGCAATGTTGTGAACTCATATGTGCTATAATTCTTTGGAACATGAAATTAGTACTGCCGTTTCAAATACCTTAAGAAATATGAGAAAATAAAGTTTGGTGTTAAATGATCATGCTCTTAGTTCATACCTTGTAATTTCATGTGTAATTTCCCATTTCCAATCCGAGCTCGGATTCTCACAATCAAATAGTTACCATGACTAATGCCCGACCCCTCATTTATTCGGACTTATTAAATTTAAATTTAAAACTTGACCAAACCAGTTCATCTGGGGGAAAAGCTTCTAGTTATATTTCCCAGCTAATATGATTCCACCGTTATACATTTTTAAAATATTTTCATGAATTTGTACGATTTTCGGTATATATACCCCATATGGAGAATCACTGGTCTAAATGATTGCTGTCTTCTGCATTTTCAGCCACCAGTTTAAAATAATTTATATTGTTTTTCAGGTCATTGGGTGTTTTACTATATACCCTTGTATATGGTGCTATGCCATTTGATGGCTCTAATTTTAAACGACTAGTAAAACAAATATCTCAGGGTGATTACTTTGAACCAAAGAAACCTTCACGTAAGTTTTATTTTTCTTCGATGATTAGTAATTGAATATTTGGTCACATCCATACTCATACATATTTTCTTTCAGCTGCATCATCTTTAATCCGAGATATGTTAACTGTACCTCCTGCTAAAAGAGCTGACATTGAAAAAGTGTGCTCCCATTGGTGGGTTAATGAAGGGTACAGTGACTCGTGTTTACAAATTGCTGAAGAATTGGCTGATCAAACTCCAGTGCGATTAGATCTTCTTCTTTCATTGGCTCCACCTCCTAGTGGAGTAGGAACTGAAAATATAATGCAGCAGGTAAAGGCATAAAATTAACATCAAAGTAATCTAACACTTTTTTCCAATACTCGATCTTTCATTTTCATTTCTTTTCTCCTTAGATGGGATCAGAGTTTTTCTTTTAACTCTCTTTAAGACCCAATTTACGCCTTCTTTTTGACGATAGGATTCGGAGTAATAGTGAACGCGCGCTTGCACAGCGTGGCTTCTGATTCCTCAGATTCCACATTGCGTTTGCACTGAAACTACGAAATCATTCGTCAAAAGAAAGTGCGTAAAAGGGATCTAAGGGTCTAAATTAACTATTGGAAAACAGGTCATATTTAGAAACTTGTTAAGTGATTCTCAATTTATTTCAGTAATAGCCATTAATCAAATCATATATGTTTGTTTTAAAAACAAATTTGATTTTCAATATTCTGAGTTTTAAACACTTTTTTCCATGTCATTCATAATGTTATTTCAATATACGTATTAGTATTTCATATCCGAATTTTTTGGAGCTATCTGGTTGCACCTGTTTGCTACTTTTATCGCTTGCTTAGTTGTCAACTACTGTTGTTACTACTTGCGCCCTCCATAGCGCTTTTGTTGGTAATATGAGCGTTTTTCAACGTAGGTGGGTGGTTATCTTCCGCCAGCTTCCTTCGCCGGTGAACATTTTTTGAGTACTTGCCCCGGTACGTTGTTCTACCGACTTTCTGTCATCTACCTCTGTGCTCGGTGGCATTTGTGTGTAGCAGTACACGTATTCCACACTACGCACTTTCCTCATTTGGTGCAGATATTTGCGGAAATATCCGCGTTCAGACAGGAAATAGTCAGGTGAAAGGAGACTGCCTTGCTTGTGGCTGGCTCAATGGGCTACCAATATCTGCAGGATAAGCCTGGCTGACCATCTTCAACGTTCGTTTTCTCGTCTTCTATGTTTACCAGAGTGAGATTAATCTTAGGACTAGACAGTTCTCCAAAGGCTTGGTCCTGATGATCTTGGTGGCGACGCTCGAGGGTGTCAGTGTCGGAATCTGCTTAATCGTCAGGGCGACGAGCTTCGTCTTTTTGTGACGATGCCGAGCCCACGGTCCCTTTCACGGGTCTCGTGATTTGAGTTTTCATTGAAGCGTTGTGTCGGTGCGTGCCTGGATGACCGCTGTAATGCCTGCGTACCCTATCAGGGCGGCGCCCTCTGGCATTTTCCTTTCAAGTTTGTTGGCAAATGCAAGATTCCATAGGTTTGCTTCCATAAGCGATCCTGGGACAATTCCCGCCGTACTACAGGAGTCTATCTCTTTATTGTAAGTCAGAAAACAGGTCACAAAATTGATTGCCTTTTTAGCCATATGAAGCCTTATCCACGTCCACGCCTTTCTACAGGGACCGATCTACATAGCGGCAGTTCCTAGTGTGTTAGAGTAAGTACCATCCTGGGCAATCGCGATTTCTGTATGGTTCGCTGATGAGTTTTGATGTGATCATTTCCTCAAATGTCAGCTAATAGAGGAAGACAGCTAATGTTCTCCGCGAAAACTTTGCGCGTTCCGGAGCCCGACACATGCTTCGGTCTCTCCGGAGCTAGACCTTTGTTTGCGCAGAGGATGCATTTCAGATTCCCCGTGGTGTATGTGTAGACCTGGATGACCTTTCTCGTCCCATATGTAGGTGTCCTTTTCATCTATTTCGCTGAAGTCTCATGAGAATGACGGAAATGACAAAGACAGAAATGGACATTGTTTTTACTTCCTGGTATAAATGGTTTTCTTTCATGAAAGTAATATTCGTATATTGTACTCTAGGGAATGAGCAATGCTCCAAGTGTTCCCCATGCTATGGTGCCCACACGTTGTCATTCAGTTGGAAGTCTAATGGAATTAGACCATACTGCAACAGAGCAGCAGCAACAGCAACAACAACAACAACAACAACAACAACAACAACAACAACAACAACAAAGAACATTTGGAGCAATTGGGAAGCAACCCCTATATGGGGATAGTGTAGCTCAATCTGCTCAGTCAACTAGCTGTGCAACTGCAGGGCATTGGGATTCCACAAAGCGGAAATTGGAAGAAGGTGAGTTTCTCTTCTTGTTAGAATTAAAAGACTAATATTTCTATAATTGATGGGTGAAAGTTTTCAATGCATTGGCCGACTTATAATTATACAGCATATTTATCAATATTGTATTAATATGGTATTAATATGTCATGTATTTATAGTGAACCCATATACGTACGAGTAGTGTGGAGAGTTGTAGCAACAGTTGCTTTGCATAGAAATATCGATTGTGGGTTCATTAATTCTTAATTATTGGGGAAATACAAGCACCAGTTCTGTGATGTATATCTTACAATCTGTCACAAATTGAGCTCTAATGATAAAAAAGGTTTTCATTGAAAGTCAAACATGATTTTCCATGAATATCAATGACAGCTTGTAGATCTTAATACAGTTCATGTAGTTTTAAAATGCAATGGATAATTTTAATGTATTTATTACAGAAGGAAAATAAATACCATATTGCTACCATTTTACTTGTAGATATACTCAATTTTTAACACATTCACATTTCATGCACAGAATTTTAGAACTTATATCTACTGTTATCTTGCAGGTGCTTCTTCTAGTGAAGTGAATTTAAGAGGTGCTGTAAAACGAGACAGAGGAAAAAGAAAAAGTTACGAAGAAAGTGCTGATGTTCAAATGTCGTCTGGAAGAACAAAACAATCTGGTGAAAATGAAATGGAAGAACAAACTGCTTCTGAAGTTCAGCCAGGAGATGAAAAGATGGATATTGAAGAGATTTCAGATTCAATGCTTTCTGGAGCAGCCTGTGCTCCAGAATCTATGGAAAGTTCAGAGCTTTCAAAGGATTCTGGTGTGGAAATACAGGATGATTCTTTAAATACTAGTGAAATGGAACAAACATGCAAATCTTCAACAGTTTCATCAACTGCCACCATTATACCTGCAGAAGAGTCATCATCAGCTATGCCATCTCCTGATGAGCATGTTTCTAATGAACCACCTCTGTCTGATAATAACAAAATTAAAAAGCCCATTAAAAAGAAAGCTGAGTCTGTGAGTGACCTAAAAATGAGTGGAGATTTACTCAAGGATTTACAGAAATCCCGAAGTGCAGTTACAAATGAGAAAAAGGACTCTGTTCTCTTGAAAGAACCATCAAAAGGTGTCAGTGGCACAAAGGAAAAGCAGAAAAAGGTATCAAATGCTGAAGCAAATGAAGCAAGCAAAACTTCGAAAGTCATTGCTAAGAATGATACTGGAAATGCTATTAACAAAACGTCTAAAGCCGTTGAATCTGTTGTAAATAGCTCTAAGAACAGTAGTGCACCAGGAGGAAAAGATGAAAAAGAAAATGATATACCAAAAACAAATACAAAAGCTGTGAAGAGCAAAGGGGACTTGGTATTAGAAAATCTAAACTCTGAAGGATCCTCTACACCAAACACATCTGAACCCAGTACCCCTCCAGCAGGTACAATGGAAAGGAGGAGATCTAAAATCTTTGAAACAGCTGATAAATTTAATAATATTTTGTCAGGAAGTCAAGAAACAAAGAATGTTGCTCGTGATAAACCGAAGAAACTCTTTATACCTGGTGTTAAAGTAAGTGATTTCAAGAAAGCCTTTGAGAGAAAATTGTCAAGTCCTGAAATTTCTGTAGCTGCCTTTTCTAAGAAATATCCTACAAAATCTGATGAAATAACATCTGAAAAATCAGAGAAACCACAAAATGGTGAAAACGAAAATAATGTCAACGGCATACAAAAAGGTACCAGCTCAGCAAGTGAAGTGCATGAAAATAATTTGAAAGGGAAACCTACTGGTAAGTAATGTATTTGTGTTTTTTTAGTTTAGAATTTAAAAATTATTAACTTAATATATTTGATTAATGCACTTAGGTTTTGGAGAAGTCTGGTGATGATAATATTGTTCTATGTTCTGCAGAAGGTGAACAAGTACAAGATGATTTGAAAGGAAAGAAATCAAAATCCGGAAAGAATTATTCTCATGTGACAGAAGACAATAAAAAGGAATACATAGTAGACTCAAATAAATCAAAATCTCTGAAAACTCCATCAGAAACCAAGAAATCTTCAAAGTCTGTGATAAATAAATCTTCTGATTCTGCAGTTGAAGGAAGAAATCTAGAAACAACACAGCCAGCTGCTAATACTGTGGATTCAACAGATATAAAAGCAAAGACTGAGAATGATAAAGACCAAGAATTACTACACAACGATAAGAAAGTTTTACCAACAGAAACTGTTGTTAGTGCACAAGATGCAGGAAATGATGTAACAATAAAACCTTCAAAACCAAATGAGACAGCAGGAAAGAAAAAGTCATCTAAAGTTGAAATTACTCTTAAATCTGCTACTCTTCCTCGAAGAAAAACATCAAAAGCAGAAATCAAATTAGATCCTGCGATTCCGCCTATAGAATACAAAACTGAAATTGAACATATGGTCAATACTCCAACTACTGTTCCATTACATATTAGGCGAACAGATGAAGAACATGCTGTTCCAGAAACTACAGTGCCCTTCAGGTAAATATATTTTTACATTTAAGTATTGAGAAAGTATTTCTTTGAGCATTTGTCATTATGGAATAGCATTTTTTTGAGTTTCAGTAATGTTTAAATCGTTTCAAAGCAGCTCATGTAAATATGCAATGTGTTAGCAAAAAGACAAATTCATAATTTCTTCTGCCATTTTTAAAACAATTCAAAAGCTTTTGATGTACTTCAGTACTCCAATTTGACATAGGTTCTTTGAATTTTTCTTTGTTTGTGGCTTGTCTTTGTAGATTTGTCATTTTTGATTTCTTACATTTCTGAAGGAAATTTGGAATGATTGAGACTAAAAACTTGCTTTGGTAGAAAGTTTTCAATGATATCTTTGAATAGGTTCCCTACAATTTTTTAACTTTTATCATTTAGTGTATTCTCTTTCATTTTAATCAAAAAGCTTTGCTTATTTGCCTATGTGAAACATAATTGAAGTGATGTCTATTTTCTGATACATTTTGTTTCAAAGGTTTTTATTTTCTTCTACTTTTTCTTAATTTTCTAAATTTAATTTTCATTTAAAAGGACAGTGATATGAGTGTATAGTACGGCTTGGATTATACACTCATATAATAAATTTGAGAACATAATAATTATGAAGGTTGAAATTCTTGAGAACCAGAAATAACTTATACCAATAATTGGCTCAGAGTGTGAAAAAATACAAACTCGATTTGTTGTCCTTGATCTGTTGTGATTGTAGGGTGCTGAAATGGGCAGTCCACATATATGAAAAGTAGCAACTACCATTTAGCCATTATCTGTGGAAACAGCCTTGAGTCAAGCCATCCACTATCATTAAGTAATAATTTGTATGTTAAAATGGAGGTAGAGGTCCAACAATTTCCATGAGCAAAACAGTGCTTCAGAGGAAAGGAGGCTCACGAGGGTGAGCATACGTACCATGAAACGTTATCGCTTTGTCAGGCAATTCAAGCTCATGCCCAGAGTTCAAAGTTATGATGATAGGTCATTGGAAGCATGAAGTTACTGTTTGGTACCCACTTCTTGAAGTTGGGTCAACTTGGAATAGTCCAAAAGAGTCAATATTAAAAATCTCTGGAGAGTGCATCTGCAATAGAGTCTGTACCATGAAAAACATCCATTTTAAATTGTGATAGAAACACAATAAGATTCACTTGAACAGGAAGTAACTTGTTTCTTTTTTATCGGAAAATAAACGTTAAAGCAAGCTTGCCCAACTGCTCTCAGAAGAGCATGAGCGCTTGTGATGGCTCGCGGCTGTGCCAGTGGATAAAGAAGGGTATTACCATGGGGAAAGGGACACTTGTGGTGGGGAAGGAAAAGAAATGCGAAGTTTTTTGACAAAAGGTATCGCAGCTCTCATGCCTCATGAACCTGATGGCAAGTTCCTACTGTGAGGAAACCCCTAATTGTTCCCAACAAATACTTTCGTATTTCAGAATATAATTTATTAAATTATACAAACTTTTTAATAATAACTTACTAGTAAACAATAACAAACAAATTCCATATTGTTATAGGCGTTCATTGTAAGAAAAGGGTCTAGCCAGGTAAGACAGTCAACAATGCAAAGTAAAGTAAAAGGTTTAAACAAGGAAGTTGATTGAAAATGAATTTAAAATTGGTTTCTACCCCATTTCACCATGAAAAACATGTTTTAATATTACATTCTTCTAACGTATGCTTCATACTTATTAAAATAAAACCCTTCAAAATATTTTTGATTCATTTTAATTATAAATTCAAAAAACATATTACTGTATTACAGTTCCTTAATGTGTTCAAAATTTCTGGAAGTTATAATCAAGTTTTTGCACATTGTTTTTAGCTGCAGACCAATTCACACAATTGTGATTCACATACTTTTATTATCTCCATCAAGTTTACATTTTGATGCTATGCTAGGATGTTATTTAAAATTTCAAGGTCTTCTTACTCCCTGATTGGCACAAAACTTCAAGAGAATGTATTAAAAACTTTGTGGAATAATGTGAAAATAGAACACAGAAATCAATTTTTTGACCATATTCCCCATATATCCCACCTTATGTTTGGGGTTCATTTCAGCTTATTAATACAATATGTAATTATTAATACTATATGTACATCTTCTTCTGACACACTTGACATGATTTCAAGATACTTGAATTTCTCAGTTCCTAGTATCAGACTATATTTAATCTTCATGGTAATGTAGGTTGTTTGTGATACATTTTGTTTCATCAAAAGACTTTCTGAGTAAGCTGACTTTCATGGCATGTTGACTAAGCAACTTTACTTGATTGAAAGCTGTTTTCATAGAGGAATCTGATGAAATTGCTTCTTGAAAGTCTGGCATTCACAGATTATATAATTAATTCACAGGATATTCCTTCAATTACAGTTTCAGTAATAACGTATCATTAATGAGGTTTTTGTCCATTTGGTCTTCTTTCATTTTCTGACAATTACTTTCCCAATTTGTTGATTTTATTTAATTATTTTTTAAATAATGACAATTATAATTTTAATTCCCTATTTTTAGGTCATGGTCTTTGGAACCTGAGAGTCCTCATCTTGGAAAGATGCCATCACATGAGTGCATTATTCCCATTCAAATTGAACGTGAGGCAAGAGAAGGTTCTGGCCTTATCAGTCCTCCTGTTGGTCGACCTCCTGCTTATCCATTCCAGCAACGATCAATGTCACAGTCACAGAGGTAAGTTCCTCCTGATTCATTGGGTGAATTTGTTAATGGTTGCATTAGTTGCAGGTATTTATTTTGTCATATTTAGGCATTTCTCTTGATTTCTCTTGTGAAAGAAATATCTTTGGGGCTTCAATTATTGATTCTGAATACATTGTTGCTGTTTTTCATTACTTTTTCTTCTTTTTCTTTTTCTTCTTCTTCTTCTTCTTCTTCTTCTTCTTCTTCTTCTTCTTCTTCTTTTCTTCTTCTTTTCTTCTTCTTCTTCTTCTTCTTCTTCTTCTTCTTCTTCTTCTTCTTTTCTTCTTCTTCTTCTTTGTCGTCTCCTTCACTTAAAAGGGTTTTTGAGACTACTTTTTAACGATTAATGTCCCAAATAGCTGACGCTGTAAACAAATTTTAAGAAAGAAAAATGACAATGAAAAATGTAAACTACATCCTAAAATGTCTACACTGATCTTCCATCTTTATAAGGCCTCACACCTTTCCCTTCTTCCCCCTCTCCATCCTCTATAGCTCCCAAACCTGCAGTTCAAACTTCACATTCTCCAGTTCCAATTGTAATATTTACTCATAAACTTTATTTTCCAGATCCAGTACTTTGTCAAGGCAGAGTACTCAAGAATCTGATTCTGAAGTGATGGAACCAATTAGGAAATCTCCTCGTGAGTATATCATACCTATTGCTGTAGAAGGTGGAGGATATGTTACCCCTCGAGCAGGAAGTCTGGAACCTTCTGCCTCTGATGATGCCAAGTCTAGGAGATCGATGTCTTCTACTAGGTCAAACCATTATCGAAGAATGAGGTAAGTTCAAACATGAGCAAAGTGTTATGAGTTGCATAGCTAGAATAAATAAAAGGGATAAATTCACTTAGGTTTAGGGTCTTTGCCATTATTTATGATAAATTAATTCAACCTTTCTTGTGATTTAGCAGAACTTTATTCTCCGTTACATGTGGGTCTTGGTTTATATCTTTATCTAGTCTACAGTACAACTGACAGAAAACCCATGTGAACTTCATTTTAAATTAATTGTTCACATATTACCCAAATTAAAATTGAAAACTTACCTTAATAAAAGTAATAGTAAGAATAACATGTGTAACATTTAAAAAAAATAATTATAAAATATAATTATTTCATGAAAAATGCCAACGATAACGCACCATAGCACCTATATTTTTAAAAAAATGAAACTCCAGTCAAGCAGCCTCCAAAAGCACCATGTGTGCACACACACTGTCCATCTTACTTCACACTCATTATGGCACAAAATGGATGAGATATCCTAAGGCCTCTTCAAAGATGAAATAAAGTACTTGTCATGATGTCTATTTTTGTGAAGATGAATGTACAATACAAGCTCAGATATTCATCAATTTCTTCTTTTTCTTCTTCTCTAGATTTTTACATCAATCTTCAGTTCCTATTTTTTTAAATATACCGTCAGTTTTCCTTTTGTAATATAAAAATATTATTTTCCTTTGTAAATTTCAGATTCTATTAGCTTTTCCAGAAACCCTTATCATTCCTTCTTCTTTGGGTGGGGAAAAAACCTAAATACATGCCTTTTCTTAGAAAAGTTCAGAGCAATGAAAAGTATACATGAAAAAACTGAAACATGGAGAAAAGAACACTGTGACAGCACTTTATAAATACAGTTCTTTTGAAATACATTAATTGAGTTATTCAGTTGATTAGTTTTAAATATAGAAATTTGTAGAGTATACCCGCTAAAACAAATAATAACAACCCTAATTTGAAGTATCCTGACAGGCAAATTCTGTGCTCACCATGGGTGCCAGAATATCTAGATACCCCTCTGGTTGGCAACCCTATCAATGGCAGGAACATTTTCGAAAATATTTAATTCCTTTCCTTTCTATACATCATTTGTTATGTTTTACAAAGGTGTATTATATGTTCTTTACTGAATCTGTAATGAAAGTAGTATCAGATATTTCTACAAAATATTTATTTTTAGTAAACTACGCCTGATTTTCGATACTTGTTGCAATAATAAAGGAAATATTTCCACACAGAGCTGCATAATCAATATCATTTAAATAAAAAAAGTAATGATGAACATAAAAATTAATTTTCACCTGAGAAAATTGTGAGGGAATTAATTTCACAAGAGAATTTTTACTTGTGTAAATTAAACTAGATTGTTTGTCCTTAAGGCAGTAGATCTTAAGACATTACTAATTGACATTCTGTGGTCAAATGTTCAGTGGTTGGAAACCTGTCTTTTGTCAGAGAGAGAGAGAGAGAGAGAGAGAGTAATACTATTATTGTAGTAATTATCATGAGAAATTGGATCATCAGACTTTCATTGTGCTTTTCAATATTTTGATAATTGTAGTGATATTATGTTTTCTATAAGAAAAAAATTAAAATTAATAAAACAAAGTGGAAGTTATCGCCTTAAAAACCCTGAAGACACTCATGGTGTAAAAAGTGCTCCATAATGGTGTGGTCTGTCTTAGCAATTGAGAGGTGATTCAACTGCTTATTAATAAATAGGCTGAATAGGACTGGAAGATATTAAATAAAAAGGAAAGATCATGGCTGAATGATATGAAGATCTAAATGAAAATTGGTTTATTTGAGAGACCTCAATTAAAATACTGAATTCCAAACCATGGTCAACGCTATTCATACCAATAACACCATTTTTAAGTTTTCAACAATTTCTGTTCAGAACTATGATTTACTATATATTCTATGTTATTTTGATTGTCATTTTATTATTTCATTCCATATTTTTGACAAACTTGTAAAATGAAAAAAAGACCACAATTTCAAGTATAATTATATTTTTTCAAATATTTGCATTTGCAATATTTCAAGAATATATTTTGTTCCCATCATCAGGATTTAATTTCTTTGGATATAACTGTTTTTTGTTATAAGCAGCACAATAAAAGCTGGATTGAAATTCTACAAAAATATTTATTTATCAGAATAGACAACATCATTTGAAATATTTCATTGTATCTAATATCTCCCTGAAATATGTAATAAGAGGAGTGTTTGAAGTTTGCATTATGAGCAACCACTTTATATCTCATGGCTTGGACAACACTACAAGTACCAAAAGATAAATACAATCTTCCTCTACTTCTACAAACAAATCTACTGTGTTAATCCATATTCATAAATCCATATTCTGCAGTTGTTTAAAGTGCCATCCATAAAGTCCAATCAATATGGCAGTTTGTGTCAATGGCCTGATAAACAGACTTAATAATTGTATTTGTGAGTTATGAACAATGTGATCTATTAAGACCATGAGTTTACCATGTTTCAGAATTTTATGTTTTTTGAAGTCTTTCTAATGAACCATGTTTCATTTAAATCTCGAAGTCATCCAACCAAGACCTTTCCCTGAAAAATGTACTAGTGCTTTATCATCAGTCCCCTCTTGACTCACTAAAAAACAGCACATTGATTTCCTGTGTCCAGACCAAAGACAATCCACGCGTTAAAGACCTTAACTTCACTTATCTTACCAGGAAATATTGCCGAGTTGATGTAAACTATTGGAACTAAATGAAATAAAGAGGAAGTAATTGCATGAGCCTAATTTGCTTGCATTTTGCTTGTCACAATGTATTTATATATTCATGGAACATTTGATCTTCTTGAAAACTGCTACTTATGTTGTTACAGATAGACCATTTAATTATTTTCTTGTATTTTATTTAAATTTAAAATTATTTCAGAATTTTTAAAAAGCTGTAGAAAGTTTATTTTTATTATATCTGTTTATTTTAATTTTAATTTTAGTAGCCTCCTAAGTGACACAAGTGAAGATGAAGGTTTCAACATGTCTCCTGGTGGTCTTCAACGACATGGTTCTCTTAGTAGAGGCAGAGACGATGGGAGAACTTTCCATTTCCATAGATTGAGGTATTGTTTAATAAACAGTGTCTGAAATTCTGAAATAAACGAACTGATTGCTGATAAACCATTCTCCAAATAATCTTTCTGCATTGTCTTTATCTTAATGGGTAACCGTAAAACAAAAGAAACATATTTGCAATTAATATTTCATCAATTGAAAAATGACCCAACGTATACTTGAATCTAATGTGTAATATTCTTTTATTCTTGTCTAGTTTCTCCATATGTTGTGTTAAGGAAGTACTAAAATTGACCATATACGTAACAACAAAGGTTTTATTTTTGAAAAGGCTGATTATTTTTGAAAAGGCTTGTTCTGCTTCTTCAAAGTTTATATGAATTTATAAAAGTTCTTTGCAGTTACTGTGTTAAAATGCCCAGTGCAGCAACATGATCTCATGTAGCAGCATGGCATTAAACTTTCATAATACATTACACATTTTTAAAAAGTGCCCAAAATTGAAATGAAATGTCCTGTACAAAAAATAAAATTATCATCAGAAATCATAACTTGCCTTCTTCCTAATATTAGTCATTAATAAAAATTAGACTGAAAGATCATCATGTTTATTTTTATAAGGAATTACTCAATAGTGTGAGAAATTAACATTTGACATTTTAATTTCAGGTTTATAATCATGTAACATAAAAAAAAAGAAACAAAAAAAAAGTTTTAATTATCTTACAGCTGTTTTATGTTCAGTTGTCGTGTCTAATGGCTTTCAGAATACTGAATTGCTTATTAAACTTGTATGGTTTTCTTACCTTGAAAACCATATTTAATGAATATTTCATTTTTAAATTTAGAAAATGTCTGTTTATGACAATAGATTATGTAATAGTGTGAAATGTTTTTAAAATCTGATGACTATATTCATAAATGCTTTTTTCCAGGAGTTCAAGACCAATGAGGCATTCTTTGGAGCATAATGACAGTCTCAGTTCTGCTGAAGAAGATGATGACGATGATGATGACGAAGGCTTTGAGATTCTCACTGCTGAATCACTGTTTTCAACACTGCTTTCTAGGGTATTGCAATTGACTAACTTAGATATCACATAATTTCTATTCCCTTATTTTTGGTAACATTCAAAAATTCAATGCAAAAAATAAAAATATATAAAAGTATATTTGTCACGTAAAATTGTTATTAAATCTCTGACCCTTTGATGTATTTTTCAGGTTCGTAGTTTGACACAGCGATTGACAGTAGAAGATGGAAAACGACCAGGCTTCCCATCAAACCATTTTGTCAATCAGTTGTCGAACATCAATAATCCTTCTACATCATTTAAAAATTTTTATAGCCATCATAGGGAACCTTTATCCAGGTAAACCCAAACATTAATTAAATAAATGCAACAAATTGCAAATTATATATTTGAAAAGATCCAGAAAACAAAAGCTGATGTGTTTCACAAAATGTGAAAATTTTCATAATATTTCTTCTGAACAGAATCAGAGTTGTAATTTTTGTTCATATTTATTATTTAATAAAGCTAAATATTGGAGTGAGTTAAAAGTGTAATAACTAGCAACTCTTTATAAGGCCATTCAGTGGTTTGCATAAAATAAATGACAGTGTCTTTTAGACTGATCCTGCTAATAGAATACTATAAATAAATCATTTGGCTTTCCATATTTAATTACAATAGCCTGAAGGTACATTCAACAAACCTCGTGTTTGGAATTATCCAGTATTTGTTGAAAGAATAGGTGATTCACATTAGGTATGAATGTGTAATTTTTCCATGTCCTTTAATTGCATAATATAAGATACTTTCCTGACCTATGATTAAAAACTAAAAACCTGACTGTGACTGTCTTACATTTAAGTTTTTAAGTTTGAGGCTGTTTCGAAGTTTTAATATCTGTGATCTTAAATGTATTTCTTGTAAAATAAATTGTAGTTTTTAAAAAGCCTTTTTCTTGTTCTGTTTGTAAGCTTATGCAAATAAAGGTTTATTTTACTAGTAGATAACTGACTCTCCTGAAAGGCTCAATTAATGTCTTTTCCATGAGATTTAATTGCAAATTAAAATCCTCTATAACCAGTGAAAAACAACCATAGGGGTGGTTCCCATTGAGTACCATTTACCATTATTGTTATAATGTAATTAATTTATTATTCGAAATAAAGAAATAAATTACTAACTGTCCACTTTTGCTGGATGAAGAGTTACCAGTACCAAATGATATTAGCATTCATATTACCATTTATCTCAAGTGTAAACCAACAAAGTTAAGGAAATGATCTTCAAGTATCACTCATTTATTCACAGACGGTTATCAGAGACCTCTTCATTTCCACGTCTGCTCAACCGTGGCGATTTTGGTCCAATGCATCAAAGAAGTTTGAGCCGTGATTCTTCCAACTGTGACAGTGTTAATAGTGAAGCAAGTTGTACAGTTGGAACTTTCCCTCGAGGTATGTATAAAAAATATGAGTTATCATGCATGCTTGTATTTTAAATTCTTATGATATTGCTGCTTAGTTATGTTTTGCAAGTGTGTTCTTTATATATAATGACTTAGTGTGTGCAATCATTGTGTGCTAGACTTAACATATATTATGTATTGTTTTTCTTAAATAGTTTAAATTCTTGTGTGTAGATGATTCTAAAAATTTTAATTGTTGATGATTTTTTTTTTTGAAATTTACTTCCTATTTGAATAATTCAAGGTGATGGAAAATTGCAATTTTTCATCTTCAGATCACCATGTATAATTAGTATTAGCTATTAATAGGCCACTTCTGGGTCAATACAATCATTCTATCAATAAGGCTCATTTAATTTTTTATTGATATTTTGATGGAGGGAATTAAACTATGCAGATAAAGTAAACAAATGAAATATTTACTGGGAATTCTCTAGAATATAATTTATTTTTTCTGTCCAAGTGAGGCATAATCTTTTAATATAGTGACATGAAATAATTGTAAAATATTATGTACTAGCAGAATCACTTAAAAGCAAATTTTTTTTATTTATTTATTTATTTTTTTTTTGCATAGTGATGTCTTCCCTTTCAATTTGCAATTTCCTTGCTCAGTGTTGAACCTGACCTTTAGAACTCAAGAAATATAGATCAAATTTTCGTCTTACTCCATTGCACTTTTTACAATCACATTTTTGTTTATTTGTCATATTCATTGATCTGTTTATTTCATTAACTCAAGTATTTGCAATAGAAATGACATTTTTAATATTAATTACCAAAAATAATTGTTTACTGTTTTGCTAATCACTTCAAAACATTATGTTTTTGAATCTGACTTTTAATGATGTTCATATTGTTCAAAGTATTAATTATGTTGTTGAACATGTAAAAGAAAGATGAAAAATGCACTACTTCATCAATGAGATGAAAAATATTTGCAGATTGAAAACTCTGGTGTACTCAAATTGCAAGAAATCAAAATATATTTTTTATTGTACACATTTTATGTTAGGTCATAATATAATTAAGAGGATTACCTTCAGTCAGGGAAATTTGGGGGATTTCATATTTTATGAAAGAATCATGGAAATGTCTAAAAATTAGTTGTGAAGGAATTTTTGCCTTTGCATTCCATTTTCTTAATAAGTTTGTTGTGCTATCACTATTAAATTGCTTTCAACATGATTGACCTAGTGGTGCTTAACAGCACTGTCTTTCTCATATTACTGGAAATAGTATGGTTTCATAATATTGTAATATTGCAACTTTTAATCCAATAAGACTCAGCCATAACTTGAAAAACCGATAACAAATCAGAGCCAGTGATACGAAAACTCAAACATTTCTTTTTTGAAATTTCAAAAGTTTAAATGGTTCAAAAAGTTGATTGTTTTCTGTCATTGAATTGTTTTGTGCTCTGTTTTTACAAGAAAGTGTAGGGAAAAAACAAACAAAAATATGTGCTGAGACTGGGTTTTGTACCTGACCACTGTGGCTGAGAAGCCCAAGCTTTGCTATCTGAGCCATCTTAACAAGGAAAGCCCTTCTCATATACTGGATTATGATGTATTTGTTAAGTTCCTATGATCTTGCATATTTCAACTCGAAAATAGGAAACTAGAAAACTAGTGGTATTTTCAACTAGTGAAGCTAGAACAGCACGTACTTTCTCGCCCGTAATTTCACGCAAAATTATGTGAAAAGTACCCAAATTTTTGAAAAATTGTACATGATCGTATTTCAAAATCTATCTTTAAGAAACAAATTTTATCAAGGGAAAAATCTCTATTTTCACAATTGTAGTTGTATGACGACGGCAAAAAAACTGAAAATTTTACAATTTTTGACAAATCAGGTTTTTTTACGAAAATGAAACCTGCACCGTTCTCTTAACCGTCCTTCACACTATCCAACAATAAAATGTAATCAAAAACGGTGGAGCCGTTTTTTTTAAAAAATTTGAAAATGTCCCAGGGGCTTAATGTAAAGTACTCTCAAAAATTAAAATATAGGTATCAAATTCAAGGAGCCGCGACATCAGCCAGATCAACTGAGGAATATCGGTTTTAGAGAAAATGGGCTGAACGGGCTAGAGTCCGCCGTGCCGCAGACATAGCGCGCAACAGTATTGAAGGCTGCGGGCGCGCCCTCTTCAAACCGCGCCGCGCTCGCTCCCGGTCCACCAAAGGCGTTTTCTTCATGTGTCGGCGTGTGGGACGAACATAGGCACTTATATGACGACTTTTCATCGTGAGTCGGAAGTGAAATAATGCAAATGATACTTTTTACGTCGCCAGATGAAGTAACCTTCCTTACTACCTCAACGCTAGTTGATATAATTAACCTTAGCCCTTTTAATTAAGTATAGTAGGAGCAGGATATTGCATATTCAGAAGGCTAGAGTTCAAACAAAACAGTCATGTATATAGGTCTGAAAATCTTAACCAAATTTCATTCAAATGTCGGACTGGAGGCAATCTCTGCTTCCGCGTAGTCATTTGCCCTCCCATGGGCACCTCACTCTGGGTGTCGACGCGCTGCAGGGGATGTACGGAGGCTACTCTGCCTCTCCGCCTCGCCTGCAGCTGCTCGTCCTTCAGCATTTTTGCTGCTGCCTCTGCAAGCCCGGCTGTCTGTCGACTCCCGTGACGACGAACACTACCTCTCCGTCCTTCTCACGCCGATTCACGAGCGTCCTGCCTTCACATGCTGCTGGCCAGTGCAGAACTTTAAAATAAAATAAATGCCATTCATTGGTGCATTTTGGCGAGTTCCTGGCTAACACCTCAGGGAGCTATAGTATTACGTTTCCCTACAACAAATTAAATTATTTTGAGTTATCGCCACAATGTAAGAGATCTAAGAACATTGTGTCAGAAAAATACCATACATTGCATAGTTCTGGAATTATAAATAGTGTTTAAAACGCGGTGCTTCTTACTTTGGATGACCACGCCCTCCAGGGAATGTGCGGAGGCTACTCTGCCTTCCCGCCTGCCGACAAATATTCCTTTGATTAAATTTTATCGATAAACAATATTGATTTAAGAAGCGAGTATGAATTATTTAGTTTTAGCTCGTATTTAAAATAAAAAAAGCACGGTATTAATGTATCCATAGTCGCGCGCAGAGGGGGGCGGGACACGGTCTCCTGAAAATTTTGAAAGGGTCTCCTACGCCTCGAAATAAAACATTTTATTCCCTTAAAAATGTTCAATCCTTGATTTTCTCCGTTTTTAATCTGACCGTTGGGAAAATTGTTTTACATTTGGGGAAAAGGCTTTCCAAGCCATCTATTTGTAAATATATATGGTATTTTAGGGTCGGATTAATCCAACTTTTGCCAACTACCAGTGTTCCCAGGCCTTGGCCCCTTTAAAAAAAAATAATTTTCCACGCCCGGGAAAAGGAGACATGTGGCGAGCTTGACGCATTCCATTTTCCGTACCTAACGCAAGTTTCCTGTCTGATCTTTGTCTTTCATCACGCAGATATAGAAACTGAGGCGATTTGTATTAGAAAGTAACAGCTTCATTTTTGCCCCGATCTGGAATCGAACCCGAGACACAGAAAGCTCACATTTTGTTCCTGAACGCCATCTATTTGTCTTTTTTGTTCTTTTGACGCCAAAACACAGCTGGAGAAAACTGTGTGATATTCTATGAGGGAGAATTGCAATATGTGCACGTTTTCTCGGGCTCTGGAATCCCTACCCTGGCTTTTGTACTATATTAAGTTGAAATAAGAGAACCGGTAACAACGGGTAGTAATATCTGGCAACTATGTATGTTATTCCACCAAAATGAAGTGTGTTTATTAATTGTGGCATTAAAGTTATAATGTAATTATCCGTGTAGTAAGTTTTATTTATTTACTAGTAAAATATGTCATAAGTAAATTTAAAACGTTTAATGAAAAAGGGAGCCCAGAAATGAAGTTGTTTCCCACTTGCTTTTGGCTGCGCATGCCTGTGATGCCATCACGTGGCTTCAGCAAGAGAAAATTCATCCTCAAGAGTTCAAAGAATCGGAAAGAGAAAGGGGGTACCTTATCAGCAGAAGTTTCTTGAGCAATATTGGGCTCTGGTGGAGAGACACATCATCTTTATCCGAGTATTTTAATTTTCTTTTTGCAAGATATATCATGTTGGAAATAAAGGGATCAGAAGAGATCAACATACGAACATAACAGGTCATTTGTGCAGTCTGAAAGCTCTACTTGAGTGATAAATCTGGACACAATCTTTGAACAAAAACAAGTTTATTCTACAAGCCTATTGGTCACAAATACAAAAATGTCAGAAATACATCGCCAAATTGCCGAACAACTAGTAGAATAAGTCAGACGTCTTGCTGTGTTGTTGCCGCCAGGATATGTACCAGAAAACTTGCCTCACCTAGATACCAAAGGAGGAACCGTTTTACAAAGGGCCCTTGTCGTTCACTTGCAGCACTACTCAGTCGCCACTCGTTGACTATCACTCCAGAAGCTAGACTGTGTTCTGTGAAAATGAGCTCAAATTTCTGCATTTTCAGAAACACTCAGACACCATTTTCTCAAAGACGGCTCCAAAAGTTTCTTCAAACTTTTTGTGCTATAATGCTAATTGCACTGTTTAAGATGCCATTAAAATTTTAATTCATTTTGCTGCATTCTTTTATTTCTTTAAAAATTATACAAATGTAAGTTTTTAAACAAAATCTCTCACGCTGTTAATATGCACATTTTAGGTGATTTGTATACATTATTGCATTTGTGAGTGACAGTGCTTCAAATTATTTCCAATGAAGTTTTTCGAAATTTCAATAGTTTTCTGTGAAAAAGATTCGTATGTACGCTCTTAAACGCCATTTTTGTAAAAATGGCACCAAATTTTTCAACGAAAATTTCCATATAGGACGATATAATATTCTTAAAGAATTTTTTCGGTTCTGCCATTTGAAAACCGAAAAATTGTGCAAATGTGAAAAAATGATGTTTAGGTGGCATATATAGCAGCTGGCAAGAGGACGGGGCAAGATCGAAAAGGTAGCCCCGACCAAAGAAATTAGGAAAGAAACTAGTATGAGAAGATCTGTGCCATTCTGTAACACCACGAGTTCCTTTTTATTTTGGACCTAGAACCTTTCGTGGCTTCTAAAACAAAAATAGTACGAACACAAGTGGGGGATACTGAGGGGCTCATATCACCATCTTTACCTCTATCTATATCTATAATAAACGAGAAATACTCTTTCTTTTTGAGAGTTAAAATTTGAGTGTTATGACTCATGATTTTAGGCATGAAACTATTTAATTTTTACGTAAATAACGTTCAAAAGCAAAATATAATTGAAAGAGAATTTATTAATAAGGGATATTCACAATAACCCTATACATTATCCCAAAACAGTTTTTTTTTCATGATTTTCTTATTTGTAATAGGTTTTCTTTGGAATTTATTTCATTGATTCACATATATTATCTACTCACAATTGTGATGTGTTTCATCTTTCATCCCCAACCCAATTTGATTTGAAAATTTGTTTTAATGGTATTTGTGTAGGATTTATTTAAATATCATCTTCCACATTGTATGAAACAAACATTCTCACAAAGTGCACTTAACTTATAAAGCCTGCATGGTAACCTAGAATTGATAAATACTTTTTAAAATATAAATATGGTGATTCTTTGATGTTAAGGAGAAATGTGGTTAGCAAATACATGGTTGTGTCACATACTTAGTGAAAACATAAAGTAAAAACCCTTTATGAAAAGTAAGCTACTCTCAAAAATCATCCATTTTATAATTTCTTATTCTTCATGTTCTTTGGCTCTTCCTCACCCATCTCCTTATTCTTCTTTTACTTTCCTCTGTGTCTCCGTTTCTTTTTATCACCTGGTATTTTTCTTCCTCATCCTTCTCTTTCTTCAGCATTTGATTATATATTATGATTATAAATTAAGATTTTAATAAAAAGTATTATATGATATTATTATACTGTAAGAATGAATAGACTTACACAGACTTTAAGTTGTTAAAAAAAATCTCATTGGGTGAGCAAAGATCAAAGTAGGTTAGTTCTCACATTGTAGTTACACAAGGAATACAATATATCAGTATTTGTTTTCAAATTATTTTAAAGGATATTAAAATGGGTGTGATTTAAGTAAGGACAGCTGGCAGCTCTGATTCTCAAACAGTTTGCTCAGTCATTGTCAAGGATTTCGAGGAGCTCAAAGAAATGTGTGTGAAAAAAAAGTTTTAAAAATTGAAAAAAAAATGAATTTATGAGAAAGAAATCCATTTGAATAAAAAATATGTGTGTCATTATGTCTGAAATTAGAATATTCTCATCAGATATCCTTTTATAACTTAACTATATATTTATTTTATGGTACCGTATGTCAGATATTGCATCAATCTTAAGTGCACATACTAAATAAGTAATTTGTGAAAGAAAAAAAAATGCTCCTTGAATACAATTGTCCTATGCATTCCTTTTGGTAGGATTATTGGATTTCTATGACTGATTCAAAAGAAGTGATTATACATTAATGACCAGCGACCAATGATGGGCACCTAGCATGCAGAAACGTGAGTAATGTTTCTACTGCTTAAATGGATGGTTCAAATATCCTTCTCTGGTTATGTGACCTAACCTCAAAAACTGCTCATGTTCATTATTCTGACTACTGTTATTTTGAAAATATTCTTTTAGAAAGTACAGGTGAATTCTAAAATTGATGGGTGTATAGACAGACATGAAAATGTACTGACAATTGGCCTACTAATGTAACATGAGTTACTCATTCAGTTCTCTTACTATCTCATTCCTTTACATGACTTCTTCAATGAACAATTCACTAATAATATACTACATTAATATCACAGATGCATTTGTAGTATGTAACGAATAATAATGGTTTGATGTTAACTTCAAAGCACTTTGTGACTGTTGGCTGAATGTTTTGTTTCATCATGTCCTCTGGTGTTAAGACCTTCTTGTGGATTGTAAATGTCCTGTTATTTCTAATTCATTCTAAAAAATCATCATTTTCATCTGTCATATTGTAATTATTATTATTAATAATTAATATTATATAACTAGGGACAACGCAAATATTAAAACAATACCATATGTCATATGAAGATGGGGCTGCAAACAATGTGGTTGCAATATTGGCTCCAATATATTGTATCAATGTTTTGACTTCACGTTTTTATAAGTAACAATATAATTATAAGAGATCCCATGATTGTCGATATCCAGTGTCCTGAATACCCCTGTCTACATACTGTCCCCTAACAATTCTGTTTTAAGAACAAAACCAAAATGATTTGATGTATTAATAAACCATATTAGTGGAATCCAGCATGTTAGTCTTCTAACAGGGGTGTGTTTGAATCATGAATACTCAGTTTGTTTAGTTTCATGTAAAGATATATTATTTACATTCATCCGTGGCGTGTTGAGAATCTTTGTAGTTTAGTGATCCATGAAGAAATATTTGTTATTAATAATGTAGTATAAACCTGTAAATTGAACAAGCTGAATGAATAATGATCAGTTTAATTTTAATTTACTTCTAGTAGATTGTTATTCAATATTGGAATGTGTTGCAAATTTCATAAATAAGTGATCTTGGAAATTCTTCACAAGTTCCTTAAAATTTTTATGATTAGTATGACTATTAGTTACCTGTAATTCATATAGAAATTGAATTATAATCTCTGTGTACACAGCGAGAACTGTGAGCTGATATTTACAAAACTTCATAAAACAGAAAGACTTAAACATCTTTCATTCCGAATATTTATGATCAATGTTTCCAATGAGTAGTTGTAAATAATTTCTGTTGAACCATTTGTTTATCATCCTTAATATTTTCTTTAAAGCCTGTTTGATATGAAGTGTTTTTGATAACTTTTTTTGTTTTGTCCTTTTAATTTTCCTTAATTTTTTGGTTTTCATTAACCCTTATTTGGTCACACAAGGTCTCAACAATAGCACACCTTTATGTATATCAGTTTCTTCAAAAACTCTGTCATTTGGATAGTTGCATTGTCATGCATCTTTTCTGGAAGGCATTCTGACCCCTTTTGTTGAAGCAAGATAAAATTTCTACGAACAAAGTTTCCTGGAAAACAACATCATTGTAGTTGGGTCCCAAACTCTCCAAGAGACTTTTCTCTTCGGTTTTTTGTAGTGAAGTGTTCACAATCATAATGTATTAAGTATCTTAACTAATTGAAGATTCTTTTTGAAGTTGAATAATAAAAACAAATTAGTTTTAAAAGTTTCTTTTAACAATGCAAATTCCATATAAAAACTCACAATTCATTTAAAGTATATTATTAGGTGTTCTAGTAAAATAAATTACTTGAGAAATAGGCATAAAATTTTGCTCATTTACCCTTCGTTATAACTGAATTCTTATTTTGACACTTTCATTTTGCAAATGGTAGAATTAAAATTTTGTGTGGTATATGAGAGACACCTGTGACATTAGAATTTCCTTTCCAACTGTTAGAGGGATAAAATAATGAATCCCTCTATTTTCCATTATCCCCATTCTTCCTAGCAATAAGTGACGTATTCAAGACAACATGAATTATCTATCTGTGACTTACATTTTTGTTCTTGTTTGTCAAAATTGTCCATGTTTGTTCAACACGTCCTGTAGAGTTATCTGTACAAGTACATCCTGAACTTGTGTGACACATCCTAAATGAATCCTATTTTAACGATTCTATGTTATAACAGCACCTGCTGCAGAAGTGGATCAAAATGCACTTATAAAGAGTTGTCTAATACCAACAAATATTGTTTTATAAAATGTGTTTAGTAGTACAGATATCTGATGAGTTTTTCTGATTCCCTGTTATTAAGGGTTATATGAGGCAGAAAAATAACTGAGGAGAGAACATAGTGTTATAGAAAACTATCGATAGTCTCTGTTTTATTGTAGGTTTTTTAATGGTAAATAGTACAATGATATATACTTATTTTCAAAATGAAGTCATAGGCTGCAGATACTTATAGTGTACTTATTTATGAATATTATGACATTTACTAATAACTATTGCTATATTTTCCACTGTATTGCAGCTTTGACGAATTGCATTAATGAAGGCTGCTTACGCAACTTGAATTTGAATATTTATGAATACTTTAAATATTTCATGTCTAAAATTAAGTAGTTCAAATTCTTATCTTGTCTCACATAAGTGACAAATAGCTATATTGACCTTGCATCTTGTGTTTGTGGCTTGATTGCAGCGAGCGTGAGATTGACCGTGCATGTTCCTGGGGGGCGAGGGAGAGGGAAAAATGGAGGCGATCCTCAACATACTTCTTCCACCCACTAGTGACTAGGGGAAGTTGTTGATTGTATGTACTAGAATTTTACATACTAATGTAGCTATAATATTTACTTTCCTGTTAAATTAACTCTGTAAAAATCTTAATAAAGTGTTAATTTGTCTTTGAAGCTTCCTGTCTTATTTACATTCTTTTGTGTGTTGAACATTAGCTCAATATAATAACTTCTAGCTCTCTGATGGTTCTTCATGTGAATGGTTTATTTGTGTACTTGTGCATTTTTACTTATTTGTATGCATGCATTTTTAAATTACTAACTAGTACTGAAGGTCATGTGAGTAAGCAATTTTCAATTTGAATTGTGTTTTATTTATCGATTAAAAAAGTGTGTCTCATTGCTCAATTGTTGGGACACCAAAAGCGAGAATTTAGCAGTAATAACATCATGATAAGTAAGCATGATAGAACAGATTTACAAGTTGTTTTATAAACAGTTATATACATCATGGCCTAAACAAGTATATACATTCATGTGAGATTAAATAAGAAAAAGTGCATCTGAGAAATCTCTGTACCTATAAATGGGTGAAAGTTAAGTAGTGTAATTGTTAAATAGGAGCAAGAACATGTTGCAGTGTTCTGTCTAGTTAATGTATCAAATAGAGAAATTTGTTTTATGTAATGTAGGCAGATATATAGGGCCTACCTTTAAAGTTGCTAAGATTCCATTTCACATCATTTATTATACTTTATTTAATTAATTGAAAAGTCAATGTTGCATATTTGTTGACTTAAATTATTTAGATGAAAATTAATGAGAAGGATTTTATATGTGTATAAACATACTGTATTTTAAATTTGCTCAATTGATACAAATACAAGATTTTAAAGATTTATTAAATGTACTTCTAATGAAAATGTATTCACATCTGTATTTCACCCTTAAAAATTATAATTCTCTATGGATTTTGAAATGATTTGTGTCTTAGAATTGGAAAAATGTCTTTGGCTAATAATATGGCCACATAGCAATATTAAGAAAGTAATATTAAGCAAAATATTAAGTAATAGCAATATTAAGTGACATACTATATGTTTTATAAATTTTGCATCAAAAGATGTGTTATATTGTTGCTGTTACTGTTGTTATAGTTGTTATTTCTGCGCACTGTCTACTGCAAGAAAAAGCTTCTTATAGCCTTACTGATGAGAATATTATCTTAAATAAAATAAAGTTTGTGGGTGTTACTTATGAATTTTGGGAGGAGGTTTATTCTTGCAGATTGGTCAGAAAAGATGTTCCTTTCAAAGGTGGATGTTTTGTAAATCAGTCTTTATAACGTCAAGAATAATATGATTCTTAAAGAACAAGTTATATCTTTTCTGTTACTTTTCTCCAAAGTGTAAATGAAATTAGAAACATAATTTTCTACTGATTGTTCTCTAAATGATCTACACAACAGTGATAAAGAAGGTAAGATTTTGGAAAGTTCCATTGCCAAGAATTCCCAAGATTTCTGTTGGAAAATTCCCTGAAAGAAGTAATTGAAATTGTTTGAATTCATGCTTTTTCTAAAATACAGATTATTCATATGAAATTAATCATTTGCTCTCGTAATTACAAGGGAAATAATTTCCTTGGAATTTAATGTAGCAGACACTCTCAAACCTATAAACACATTGACTTGTCATTCTTCAGTAGACTTTCATTGATTTGAGTAATAAGATATAAAGAATATGAACAGGCACCAGACCTACTATCCTGCTGTTCATGATGATGAATATGAACAATACAGCTACACAAGTGAGAGCAATGTTAAATGTATTGTGATTAAGTGAAGAATTAAACATTGTTTGAACAAGATTAGTTTTTTCTAATACATTCTAGCATTTAGACCAGTTAACAGATCGAATGGAATTAAACATATTTATTTTGCTTTCGTCTTAAGGTTTTCATTATGTATGTATGGATATTCACATAGTTACAATTACAAATGTCTCCACACATGCTCATATGTAAGAAAACATATTTAGCTGTCATCAACCTCAGATTTTGGTGACCCTTTGTATACATATTTTTACTCACAGTAATATTGTTTTTAATTTCCTTTGAATTCATGGAATTCTATGAATGAAAATATCTAATTTTTCATATACGTTTGTTCAAAATTATTTTGGAAGTTTGTTGACTCATATAATTTATATAATACATAAAATTCCTGAATGATGTAACATACAAATATTTTTAACAACTTTTAAATTTTAGCACATCAAAATAATTGTGACTAATTAAATAAAGTAGAACCTATCTACTTCATAAACATTTGTTCCAATGAAAGTTGGTATTCTTGTTTTAAGTACTTGACATTTTGTATTATAAAAAAAAAGAAATTTGATTATTATTCGAAAGGGAGTGGTAATTTATTTCTATCTTATAATCTTCACTCATTATGAAATTCATTTTATTTAAATATTTATTGACATAAGAAGAACAAGAAAAAAATTACTTTCTTTTTGTCTCTACAAAAATCAATTAATAGTAGTAACACAACTGTAATAGTAGTAACCTAGTAACACACATAGTAAAGACAATATATTTTATTAGATTAACTATTATTTGTAAAAAATGTATGTTATTTTCAAAATCTGTTATTAAGTCATTTAATTAATAAGAAAATTAATATTACTTACACTCGTCAGACACAACTACGTTAAGAAACTATATTTATTGATCCTAGTCTGAAGCTTGTCCCCTAGCTATTGCGTTAACATCAAATCATGTATGTAATTCTAAATTTTAATTGAACTATGAAGTACTTGAATTTACTTCAGCAATTCGTATATTAATACATTTGATCATATTAGGCCTACACCTTTCCATTCTGAATCTGTTCCTAAATATTTCTTTTTTCTTAAATAATTAAATTGTCAAGAATGAATTTACCTTTGGAAAAAGCGCCTAGAAGGAATACCTGCATCAATTTTATATTTGTTTGATGAAATAGTGTTGGGTTTGTTTCCAGGTAACTACATTTTTTCTTGCAAGTAAAATTCGTAGCAGAGCTTCAGACCTCCAGTAGTAAAATAGTTAAAGTCCTAATTTAACCCTATTGATGTCAGAAAATATCAAGTAGTAATGCCATTACATTCTTCATTAGCATAATTAACAGCAAATCATGTGCCTACACACATAGTGCATTCTCCATAAAACTTGCCAGTTCTTGCAATTAGGGCTCTTATCATCTACCATACCTAATAAAGAATCGATTTCCTATCCTAAAACTGGAGGGCGATTAACATGAAGTTGCACAAAACTAATGAAGAAAAGTGTATCCACAACTATCTAATGAAGATGTTATATTTCCTAATGTAGCTGATGTCTGCTTCCACACAGCACCCTAATGTAATGCCTAGGAAAATATTATCAATAATTACAGAAAAAACTCTTGAATGCTGTAGAATTATTTAGTAAGGAAGAACTGCTTCAGCCTGATTTTCAAAATGAATAGCATTGTAGAAGTTTTTTTTTATATTCAGGTACCATAAGTCTATTGTAAAACTGTTTGCCTGTAGCATATGTGTGTTTTATGGGTGAATGTAGTAGTGAGCAGTGGCTGGAGGAGTTGATTTGCTTGTCTTGTACTGCAACATTCTGTTACTTTTCACAGGGTCACTCAGGAGCATCCAATTCTGTTAGACACATTTCAACATGTAGTACAGGCAGTGTTTTTGACAAGTCTATGTGTGGACCTTATATTCAGTTGTTGCCTACATCACAGAGGAAAGATATTAGTCTTTCCTCGAGGACTACATTAATATTTAGTTTGTGTTAATAAACCTTTACACAAATACTATAAGTCCACATTCATACCACACTTTATTTTAATTCATAGTACAAAATAGAAAATAATAGCAGGGTTTGTCTGACCTAAATGTCCAGATCACTTCATAAAATATAGGCATCCTGATGGAGATTTAATATTTCTTGGAATTATTGAGTGAGGTGAGACTTGGGAGAAGTAAACAGACTTATTACTGATTCTTCAATTTGGGATGCAAAACTATCAATTGTATATTTGTTTTATTAGTGTTGGTTCAGTGTATTTGGAAAATGGGTAGGTGCGTTTCTTTTTTTATAAACAAAAGTATGAACTTTTTTTGACTGATGATGAAGTCACATATTGAGGATTAATGACTTGTTACCTAAGCTGATGCCTATTTCACAATTTTTCCTCGTGAGAGAACACATAATAGTTTTGCATGGCTTAATCAATTCTAATTGGGCATGTGACAACAAAAAGGAAACTGTTTTGAGAAAAACATTTTTCTTCTTTTTTCCCTTTACTGTTTTTTAATTGCTTTACTGCAGGAACATTTTTGCTTCAAATAAAACATTTTTTTGTCTAACAGGAAATAAGTTAAATATTGTTATCTAATTTTGAAAGTCGATTTAAAAATTCAGTTGACGCAATTCTTGGACAAAGTAAAAGCATAGTTCATTTCACCAACAGACATAACGAATAACAAAATGTTGCTCAAAGTGAGAAGAGAAAATTAACAAAAACATAAACGAGTTGGAGAGGTTTACTTCTTTAGCATTGTTTCTTGATTAGTTCATTTTAAATCCCGTGAATTTCAGTGGAATATTTTCTTTAAAAATAATACTAATTGTTATTTTTGCTTCTGTAATGAAGTTACATTTTTAGTAAGTTCAACCTTATTAAATTTCATTACTAAACAATATCATCTACAACATTCTTCATTGTTGGGTCTTAAATTACACATGAAAGCTATATTGTACTCTAAAATAAAAAAATTGCATGTAGTAAATGAACTAGTTATTCCGTGGACATGGATTGTGTGTTTTCCCCGTCACTGTTTTCCAATATATATTTGGAACAGTTTTTGCTCCTTTCTGGATGAGTGTGACTTAGGTGTACATAAGGCATTATAAAAAGGACTTGCAAACAAATGTAAGCAAAAATGTTTTTCTTTAAAGCAGTTTTGCTTGAGTAATGTGTGACCAACATTACTCCCAGCCAACGTCAGAAATGTGATCCTCTATCTTGCTAACCCTGAGGATTGAGATTCACTTCATCCAGGAATTCTACAGGTTCTGTCTCTGAGCAACATTGTGTTGTAATGTAAGTATTGTTGCAATGCAATACTGCATAATGTAGAAAGTAAGTTAATAACACTGTATTTCTAATT